GCCACCGATCTCGCCAAGAAAAAGCACCTCACAGCCACCCGGTGAGCAGATGTAAAAGACATCGCCGAACAGAACACCAGTCTGGGCTAAGCGCAATCAGATATACCAAGCCATGCCTTCGAGGCAAAGCCGGACAAGCCCGAGTCCCGACGAAACTCCAAAGCACTACGACGAACGGACCTTTCTGTTGGGATGGTATGGAAGCGCATCGCGCCGTTTCCGTCGCAATCGCCAGTAATAGGCTGGCCGGCTTCGGGACGCCTTCAGCATCATCCGTTAGGTTTCTGATATGCCGAGATCGTTTAAACATCCGGGTGGTGTGGGTGGCTGCTGCATATCGTCGGGCGCCGTAAAGCGGGCCATAACTGCGGCATGTGCGTCGATCGACGGGCATGTCCCTGGACACACTGCTAACTACTACGTGTGCTACACGAAAAGCCCGACTCATGACGAAACTCCAAAACGCTACGACGAACGGACCTTTCCTTTGGGATGTTATGGAAGTACGCGGCGTATACGTGGGCAGCGACGAGTTGTCTATCGCTCGTAAACCGGCGTCGCTCTGTCAACTAAATTTCGCACTTCCACCGTTCTGCCAAACTGCCGTCGGCAAACCCTTCGCCGACGGAGCTGGGCGGACGTCGTAGACGCCGGTGGCCCAAGGCGCGTGGTGAACGCCCCCGACGAGGAGTTGACCGCAGCGACGATGGCCTCGCGTTGGAGGCATTTGGAGGCCACTTCAACGGCCCAAGGGCGCCGAGACGTCCTTCGACGAGGAGACTCGACTGGATGCTGACAATCGTCGGGCGCTGCAAGGCCGGCAATAGCTGCGGCATTTGCGTCTATCGACAGGCATGTCCCTGCACACACACACACACTGCCACACACTAGGTGTGTTACATAACATGGCCGCTTCAAACCTATTCTGAGATCGCAAGATATTCCGCTTCGAACCCTGCAGGCCTTCACCAAGCACAGTTCCAGAGCATACAACATTGCCTGCAAAGAGTTTGTCGCACACAGGCCTGCCGTATACCGGCATCACTTCAGCATCTACCCTTTCCCCACCTTCCCAGTTGAAAGCATGTACATAGGCAAGATCAAGAGCCTGGGTGCAGACTGGTGCAGCACACAGTGTACTAATAATATAAACCTGAAAGCAATAACAAAAGCTGCAGCCAAGGACCGGAGAACTCCCCGACCTGCTCGTGGACAGCTTGAATCGCACGTATCCTGCAGTCGGTGGCCTCCTTGTGGGCAAACATGAGCAGGAAGCAGCACCACCTGGCCAAACACACAAGCACGCAGAATTCGATGCTGGCAAACTCAGAAACTGTCGCTCTGAAATGTCAGCGATGGGGAAAAGCAGATGTCTAGAATAAAAGGTGATTCTGGAAGCTAAGGCTTCCGTTGGTTTGCAGGTCTTCAGCTTCTGACTAGCACCTATTCGGAGTCCCCTCAGCCTGCGGCAAGAGAACACCTAGATCCAGTGAAGCGCCTGTGCCCATACTTACCCTGTTTAAAGTGTCGAGCCCGTCCGTAAACAATCGTCACATGCTGTATCGTGCTAGCTGGAGTGTGCCGTGCGACTCAGTGTGCATGACAGCGTCAAGAATCCAAGAAACCTGATGTGCGAAGTGTGACATCAGCTGCCTGTAAGTCTGGACCACCCGCAGGTCCCGGCTTTTCGTCCTTGCGGGAGTCTGCTGAATCTTGCTTTTGCTCCACCCCGGTCACTTCCAAGGACCCTGCCTCCTTGAACATGTGCGTCAATGCATCGTGAAGGGGCTGCAGCCAGTCTTCCTTCTCAGTAGTTGTAAGTGTGTCAGCTTTGAAGGCCTTCCTGCCGTGATATCGAGGCACTCTGAGCCGGTGGCAATTTCCTGCGCAAGACAGCATACCACCGTCCGGGTACATCCCACTCGCTGCATACGGAAGCGGCCTCTGCTGCTTTCTGAATGGAGCCCGCAGGCGTCCTTAATTGGGCAGTGTGGCATTGAGCTACGGCAGGCCGCAGCAACTTATGGCTTGTTCACACACGGATTCAATAACACGATGCAGTGATTTAGCGTGGTGAGTATTAGAACCGGCGCCCTTTGCCTCACGTTCCTTCCTGTGGCCTTCCTAACAACTCATGTTGATCTTGTTGTCTTTTGGTATTATAGCTTGACCTCCTGCTGTCCTTGCTTCTAGGATATGGTCATTCGGTGAGTACAACCTCCGTTAACTGTTGGCTCGGATGCTTCAACCTGCGTCTTCAAACCTGGACCGCCGATACATACTAGCATCCCGAGCTCGAGGCGTGCGAGTTGACGACAATCAAGTACTGGGTGGGTTCGGCTGTGTAACACTAGATTCCGGGGTCTCTGGATCTCGGGTTTCGACTTGTGCTGTTCTGTGGGTTTCAATCTTGAACCGCCTAGGAGGTGTCAAATGTTACAAAAGTCTTGCGTGCGTCATGAGGCTAAGAGGTACAGCAAACAGAAATGGTCGACAAACCGGGCTTCGTGTAGAAATCTGGAGAATCAAGCAGACATAAGGCACCAACTGACACAAAACTTCGCCTTGCAGTCTCAGTGATGAAGCTGGCAGCTGATCAAATTAGGGCCCATGCAACCCGAAAAAAGTCGCAAACCTGCCTGACAGCTGTGCATGTTAATGGCAAACTGTGCACAGAAGTCGTGTGGAGGCTGCACATGAACCCACCTGATATTTGACCAAACCTTCCGGCAATGAAGGTGAGAGAGCGTGCAGGCATTTTCCTGCAATCCAGCTGCCAACTGGCACACGGAACAGCATTGGGACATGACATACCCTGTTCTCTTAGCATGCTGCCAATCGAAGCGATAAGTGTACTCGACGTGGCCATTCATGTGCGCAGCTGGCTCCTTCATGGCAAGACAAAAGAACTGCCGATCTTTGCGTTGGAACCTACGGCTGAGGCATCACCGGAACATTCAAGCTTACAAGCAGATCTTCCTCCTGAAGCCTTCCGCCAGCTGCGATGGCCAGCATGTTCTCGGGCACCTAAAGCTGCGACAAAGTCTGAGCAGAGAACAGTTGTCGTGCGCAACGTCGCACAACCGTGTACCATGACTCGGGGACAAGCCCAAAGGCGCAGCACGTAGCTGGAACGAACGGCCTGTTCATCCATGCCTAAGTTGCGGTAATCATGATGTCCGCTGATCCGAACCCACGAGCAAAGCGTGATCAACAGGGATCAGGGCAACACGGTCTGAGAAGTGTGTCTGCGGAATGGTCTTGGAGTGCACACATACTCAAACCAAGAACGCCAGCAACATCCAGCAATCGACTCGTCGTGCATGCTAGACTGGGAAGCTCGAGCATTCTGGAAGGAGGGCAGGGTTCGTATGCTGCAAGGACTTCTTGAACTGCACACGCTTCAATGACTCGCTATGTTCCCACGAGCCCTCATGATGCCTTCTCGGCGAATGACAATCTCATGTACTAACTGCTGTGAAGCACTGCCACAGTGCCACCGACTTCGGAACTGCTACAAAGCATTCGGCAACCAATTCCTTATCAAGATCGTGACAGCCTTTTTTCGGACAATGGCCACTGCTTGGAGGATTGCCTGCCCAACAGCACGAAGCGGAAGGTAAATGAGCTCTTCGCGAAAATTCCTCACTTCATGGTCCGCCAAGCTCGTGTTTCCAGGTACACAGATATGATGCTGACCTGATAGCAATGCAAGACCACCATAGATGCTATGTCGTTGATTTCGGAGGTGGTCCCAAGTCTCCACGCACATGACGAAGCGAGGAAGATTCCCTGGCATGAGTTCCACCACTGCAGAACCTAGGAGCAGGATGTAGCTCGCAAAACGAGGAGATCTTTTACGTGGTCTCATGGAATGAACCCAATTCTATGTCCTATGACACTTTCGGCAGCCACACCCGTGTGGAAAGCGTAGCAACCTACTGGAAATGGTGCATATCATCTCGCTCTCAGAGCAGGTTCTGAAGCAGGAGAAGCATACAGCATATTTACATGCTACTGGTGCCAAAGCCAAAAGTGTCGAGAAGAATGCAGAAAAACATCCAACTACCCAACTTCAAACCTACCATTCCCAGCTGAATGACCAGTTTCCATGGCCACCATCCAAGCGAGACCAGCTCCATGGGCCCCAACGAGGACGTTGGTCTTGGTGTCACACAACCGAACCGAAACTAACAATTTTTCCGGGGCAAGACCGGCCAAGAGCTTCTGAACAAATGCTTTGCCCTTGCATTTCCTTTGTGGAACCCGGCTCCATCTCCCAAGACTCCTCAAGGCCGGCCTAAGGGCGAAGCTTGCCAGTCTCCATCTTTTTGTTGCAGTTGAAACATGCCAAGACGATTGTGCTACTGCAACGATCCACATGACTCCACTTGACACACTGAGAGAACCACATGAAGCACCTGCATACCCACTCATCGTACATTGGGTGCTGAAACTTGCGGCATGATAACACAAAAACAAAAGAGGCACTGGCACAGCCTTGCCAAAGAAAAGCCATAGAAAAGGAGCTCGACGTTACCGCTCTCATGGACCAATATTGTGAAGTTGGAATCGACTCAAAATTCAGAGAGCTAAACCCACCGGGTGCTTTGGCTCCCGTCGCGGGGCCTTGAAAATGTGGTGTCACTGCAGGGTCATGGGCCATCTACATTGCTGTTAGTGGTCGCACATGTAGCTTCAGATCTGAATCTGAAGCACCAACATGCTCAATAAAGTAGGCTTTTGCATCATGCGTCATGCAAACATGGAGCACCTCAAGGCCCAACAACTTAGGCTGCCTGGCACAGAGCAAGTCAACAAGTCACATATCGCTCACGGCGCGCTGATAGGCTCTGGATGGCTCTGGCATCTGCCCACTCACGGGCATTCTCGCAGTGACGGCAGAAACGCACACGGTAAGCGTGCGGTGATTTGGGTCATAGTTATACAGTTATACTTGTTGGGATCTCAATCCATCATTTCTGTCTGACAAGACTGCATTAGAAAGTTGTGCCCGAGTCTAACTGAAGCATGGCGGCCTGTGCAACCAAGGAGAACTGCTCCAAGAGGTCATGTTTTTCCAGTTGCTGCCAGTCCGTGACAAAACCATGCCCTCGACGAAGGACCCTTAGCATGTGGCCCAAGTTCACGATGTAACGTGGTTGCCCCGTCTCCCGCTGTATGATGAGCACACGTGGGAAGGATCCATTTTCCGGGTTCAGCAGTCTTCTGTCCATACCGACAGCAGCTTGCAAGGCTCTACGAAACACTTCGACATCTTGGCGTGCAACCTGCGGGGTAACCAGGTCATATCGGAAGGAGCGAAATCCAACCGAGGCTTCTGCAAAGCACGACATGTTCCCCTCGTGTGCAACGAAACGCACGGGATTGCTCGACAACAGCCGCAAGATCACTCCATGAAAGGAGGCGAACCTTTCGGTGTCGCTGCCGGGCATTTCCACTTCCCATCGCTGTCCATTTCTTGGTTTGCTGTCAAAAACAACGCCCACGTGTATGTTTTTCGGGTCCCAGCCCTGTTCTTGTTTGTGCACCAACGCAGGTACCCACCAATGAAGTGCATGCCACAAATTTGGGTAAGGCGTGCCAACCGGAACAATAAACAGCTCGCCAGATGTACCACGACCATTCGGAAATTGCTCTTCTGGCAATACATTTACCCACTCGTTGCTGTGAAATGCACCGAACTCGGAGCACAATGCAGCAGAAGCACCTTCAAAGTCTTGAGACAGAACATGGATCTTTCCGAAACCGAGGCAAGCTCCCGAGAGTGTCCTTGGGCCGTTGCACTGCCTTCGGCTCCAGGGCAACAGCCCCGCAAACAAAAGCCCATGTGCTTTGTGCGGGTGAGGTCTCCAACCAAGTCTGCTCACAGCTTCTGCCGGCACTAAAAGGGCATCATCACCGACAGGAGTCCACATCAGCCCCACGATGCGGGCTACATTGTAGACTACGTCTTCTGCCGACACATCCCAAACCTGCTGATCTAAGCAATCAGTCCAAGGTGCTGCTACAAGTAGTGCAAATGAGAGGAGATAGAGCTCCAGGGCTCTTGCCCATTGCCTCTGAACCAAGCAAGCCTGCGCAATGGCAATGTTCATTGCCACATCGCCAGCTGCACAATTCGTCTTCGACAGGGTCGCCACAAAGTTGGACAATGCCAGCAGCATCTCCTCAGAATCGACACACGATTGCATCACGGACAAATGGTGTGCTTGCTGACTCGGGTCCACAAGTGATTCCAGGAAAAGTGGGTGATGCAGCCAGAGCCGTTTGACGTTGTCGCGGGCAGCAAGCAGCATGTCGTAACCTTGGCCTGCACATGAACAAATCTCATACTGCCCACCCCGAGCCAAATCTATCGAATGACGTAGCCGCCGCCAAGCTCGAGCTTCCTGCTTGGAGAGCCACTTGGCCGCCGGAGTTGCCACACGTTCTGGCGGAAGTCCCCATGCTAGTGACCTGGTGTCGTGTAAGGTCACGCGGGCAGCATAATGAACCAGCAGCTTGGCAATGGTTGGTAAGAGCTTTTCAGACAAGCCAACGGATTCCTTCAAGGGTTTGCACAACTGCTTCAAGTAGTTGGTGGCACGTTCATGGACAGCAAGCATCTTGTGACGCGGTAAACCGCTCCGCCTTCGTGTGGCCCATCGTCGATGAGCGGAGAATGTGCCACCATGCCACATGCGTTCCAAGGCATAGGCGGTCGAAGGCGGCAACCAGGCTTTGCGAAACTGATCCAGCTCGTGCCGGAGTTCGGCGGTTGGAACCAGGCAGCATCTTTCAAACGAAAACCTCTCATCGAAACAGTGCCGGTGCTGCCCGTAGCAGCAAGTCGCAAATGAATAGCCATCCGACCAGCACCCGGCATCCCGCTGCATACTGAAGTGCACGAATCCTTGTCGAACTCTGAGCCCTGCGTTTGTGTTCACGAGATTTGCACACCCCATCTGAAGCTGCGGCATGTCCGAACCAAACCTATGCTCATGTCATCTCGTATTTCAACTCAGTGACGGCTTTATTTTGGTGTTGGTAAGTTGCTGATTCGTGAGGCCCACACACGGGAAGAGTGCGCTCGCCCAGCCAGGCTGGTCCTGCAAAGGGCACCGCGTCACCGGGCGCGATCTCTTTTGCTTGATGTATTCACGGGCACACAATGGCACTTTTACATGGGGCACAGTTCCAGATTAAATTTCATTGGGTCATATGTAACAAAATCATCACGCTGGGCTGAAGGACGCACGCGAGAAAGAGCAAGCAAAACGGCGCAAGATACCGACGAGTGTACAGCCCAAAACATTTTTCACGGAATTCGAAGTCAAAGCTATGTTGGCTGCCGTGACAGCTTGGACATCCTGCGTCATGGCTATCTGTGTGTCGTCGTCGTCGACGCTGTGATCCATCCATATCCTTGCATGGTCTGTCGGCAACGTTGCATGACAAAGCTAGCCACGTTCAGTAGGACTGCGACAAAGCAGTCGAACCAGGAAGAACTCTGTACTTGACCTGCTGTCGACAAGGAGCCATGAACAGGTGAGCTCAGAAAGCCAGCCGGAGCCTCCAACTTTATGCTGCAAACTTCTCCGGATTTCCATGCTTGTTGTGGCAGCAAAACCTTGGATGTTGGTTTTGCTTTCAATGCTGAAACAAGGCCTGCTGATTCCGTGCACTGGCATAGGCACGGACTCTCATCATCTGCGAACCCTCGAGAGCAGCAAATCCGGTGTGAAGGCACTTTTCCAGGACGAAGTCCAGCCTGCCATTAAGAGGCGGTGCATTCTACCCTCTTGTTCAAGCTGCACGGGTCCTCAAGTCTGTGCCCTCTACACGGACATCATGAATCTGAAGGCACCTCAGAGAATATGTGCAGGCTGCCAACTGATGCTAAGTCGTCTGAACGCCTTGGGTCGGAGCTCATTGATGTGCAAGCCAACCTCAGGCGCAGCCTCTTCGTTCGGTGCTCAATGCGTGTGAAATCACAGGATTCCAGAAATCAAACAACTTCATCCAGGGTTTGCGCACAATGTCATGATTGTCATGTCCATTTCAATGCGCGGCGCACCTCTTCCCCAACCAGCGCCAGCACACAGTGCGCATTTAAGCTGCGCGCCTCACTATGCCAGTGTGCTGTGCAGCTGTGCACAGCCAGCAGCAGCACCGCGCTTCTCCGGCCTCGAAATCCAGGATGAAAGTTAGCGCCTCAGCAGCTGTTCGTGCGGAGATTGAAGCTTAAGCCACTCGGCGCCTGTACTCTAAAGGACCACACGCACTCCTCCACCGTGACAGGCTCAAGAACATTGGGCGGAGATAAGGCGCTTGTCCTCACAGAATGCTCAACTGTGAAAGAGAGCGCTTTCTTAGCTTCGTGGTCGCGCACGGTTGGCATAGATTTGCACGTTCTGGGCAGTGGGCTGGCCGCCAGGGCGGTCTGGCATCCTGCAAAAAGTGTCACTATGCCCGTCATGTCTTGCTGCACCAGCACTGCCTCTGCTGTAGAGCTCCAGCGAGAGAGGGGTGCACAGCTGCACCATCATTGAGCTGCCTCACCTTTGATCCCTCCGGCCTTAACGGCTGCTGATCCAAAGGGAGCAGGGCAGAACCATCTGCCGCAGGTTCGGCATGCGCTGTACTCGCGCTTCGGAGCATACGGCAGCCATTCTTTACCATCCATGCCCCGCTTCCTCTTCGCGAATTAAGATCCGAATGTGGAGCAAAATGTTGGGGCATTCTGAGATTCCCGTACGAAGTGCAAACAAAGGCGCAGGAACATTGTGCTCCAGTTACATGCAAACCGCGAGATTCTTCTCACGTCACAAAAAACAGTGTGAGACTGCATGTGCCCGACAGCCGTTACCGACTGCCGGCGAGAGCTACGCACCAGCTCGAGTTTCCGGCGGTCCAATAGTATGAGAGCTGCCTTTCGCGCGAAGCCAGTTGACCCAGTCGTCCGACCTGAGACCAAGCCAAGTTTGGAGTCCGGATGCTCATTGAAAACTGGTCATTAACCTTGGCGCTCTGCACAGATGTTGGTGGTTCTCGAGAACTACGGAACGTACACCTTCCCGGGGCAACAGTGCCGAACGAGTTCACAATCACTGTGGCCCAGGTCGAAACAGTGCTTTCATCACGAGCATGTAAGACAAAGGAGGACCAAATTGTTCTTGTCAAAAACAACTGCAGAACTCCCCGTGCTGAATTCTAAACACGAAATGCCTCGGCCCTGTTCTCTGGCTCCTTGGATGATCTCGAAGATGGGCAGGTGACAAATGGATACGTCGGTTTCCCACGATGCAAGCTCGGGGGTAGGCGCAACGAAACGGACCTGTGGAAGAAACTAATTGAAACGAACCACCAAGCTTACAACCACAGTCCAAAGCCTCCCTCGTGCGTATCCAGACATGTATTTCGTGTATACGTTGCTTTGTGCGTCCTCTGCAGCTCTCCGCCCGGAGAACCAATTGACTTGATCAGCAACCAATCTGCAGGGAAAGGGAAGTGTCATGCTCAGAGGAGAGGAAGTCTCGTCAAGTCGAGCTTGTGGCGGCATCTATGTTAGTGCGGTGCGCCGCTTGTCCCTCTGCCAGGCCTGACCTACAGCTCCAGCCCACTAGGGACAAAGCAGCGTGTTTCGCACGGCATGCAATACCGGACTCGATAGGTTGTTAATCAGTTAATCACTCCCTTGTATTCAACACCCCCCAATAATAAGAATGCATTGGGTCAAATCCTCCCGAAATCATCTCTGCCCTTTAAAACCTTTTCTGAATTACCGGGGGGGACCGGCAAACAGTCTCTACATCGCCGGTGTTTATACTTGGTAAGCAACAGTGTGGGTGTGACATGGTGTGGCTGTGAGTTTGAGTTTGAGTCTGACTCTGTGTGTGTGAGTGTGAGAGAGTGTGTGTGTGTGTGTGTGCGTGCTTGTGCGTGCTTGAGCACGCAGGCCCTTTCTGAGCCCGCCTGTGTGGGGCGCCGCATGATCCCTTCTTTCTGTCTCCTTGTCTGTCTTTGTGTTATTTTTTTTGCCTCCCGCCTGGCTAGGACGAACCTACGATGCAGGGTACATAGCTGGAACTGAAAAGCACGTCGGTTGCATGACTGTCTCGGTGGTGCTGCTATACAACTAAGTGTCTCGGTCGACCATGGACTTCACGTGGCTGTACCGGTCGCATCTTGCCATCACGGCTCCGAAAGCATGCAAGGCCCATCAGATGCTTGATCGTACGCTTTGCCCCCAGCAGGCATCCTTCTCATCCTTCCCACATGTCGCGTTCATCTGTCTATGTATGGGGCAAACAGGCACGACTGACCCCTGAATTGATTGCAGTCACGGCATTTGGTCTCATCATGCAATGCCAGAAGCAGATTGTTGCCAAGTTAAATTCTCCATGCGATGACCACAAATTGCATGCAGTACTAGGTTGTTCCCACCAACTCTGTTCCGACTTCGCAGCTACGGGTGTCAAACGATGCACAGCAGCCAAAGCCAAACTCACCATTCGATGGTCACCAGATATGTGCTGTAGAAGGATGCTTTCGCCAAATCTGTTCGGACGTCGTAGCTACGGCCATCAAACCATAGCCAGTTGCACAGCAGCAGTCGACCGCAGTGTCATCAAGCAAATGAGCTCTCACATCCAGTTCGATCATGCAGCCCATCCACTCATGAACAAATGCAGAAAACAAATTCATGAATTCGACACGAATTCATGAATTCTAGACTTCGAAGATTTTGTATCTAGATTGAGACCCGCAACATCGTCGACTTTGATCGACAATGCCTACTCGCAAGTCAGAGAAGTGCGACTGTCGCACCGTTTGCTATGGCCCCATGCAAAGCACGTTCTCGTATTCCAGAATTCGTGCATTCGTCAGTGCAAGCTGCTGGGGGTTCGTCGGCCACCCTTCGGCCACCATTTGGCCACGCTTCTCACGGCCCAAATTCCGCGCAGATTGGCACAAAGCTCAGCGTAGTCGACGTTAGACGTCCTGAAGCAGCATCAGCCCAGGTTTTCCGTACCAGAAGCGCAGGTACAACTTCTATCAGGCGAGGGCCTCGTGCAGTAGCAATGTAGATTGCCCAGAGGAAAAACATGGCGATTGATTCAGAGCAGTTTCTCCAAAAAGTCAGCCCTGAACTGGGGGTCAGACGTCCATTTGCTATATTATATGGGGCCCTAGCTTCCTTCTTTCTGTCTCCTTGTCTGTCTTTGTGTTAATTACTAGTCTGACTAATTACTATTGTACCGAAATCCCGAACATCTATTTGAGGGGGGGGGGGGGATAAGATTCATTAAGGCTCTCCTACCTGAGCGAAACCAAAGGGAATGGCATGGACCATTGGCCTTGCTGGGTGGGGCTGTGGCCGTCTCGTGCACCGTGCACTCGCTTGTCGCGCAATCTACATACAAAGCTCTGAACGGTTAACTTCCCATTCAACAACTACACTTACGACACCTCCCTCCCGGACCCTTCAGAGCGCTTTCGCGCTCCTCTGGCGCGCGAGGCTGTGGCACATGTTTGATGCGTTGTATATTGGTTTATATAGCCGCTTAAACTGGTCAATCTGACGAGTCTGTTATCGACACGCCGTGGAAGGTCTGGTTGATTGATGCTTACACGGATAGAACACAAGAAATGTCGTTGCAAAGGCCAAGGGGTGGCGGTGGCGATGCATAAGGCGTTGGTTTCTGACAGTTTGCAGCTTCAGGCTCTCAAACAAGTGACTCACTGGGCATCGTGTCTTGAATGAAAAATCTGGAAGCGGCGAAGTGCAGCAGCCGAGCAGGCCTCCTATCCTCCACCCAGACCTCAACCTCGCAGAAACGGACTTCAGAATCTTGTGGCTACGGCTGAGCTGACTGGCTTGCGATGGCGTGCTGCAGACCGACGGTGTTGAGAACTTGACGATCCAATGATCATGGCATGAACTCCATTGTCGCAGGATGCCACATGTCGGAGTTTCGAAGGTGTCGAGGACTTCCACCTCTTCAGGGGGCCATACATGCTGGCACACACTGGACGGTGAACCCTCAGATTTCAGTGCAGGGAGCCAACGTGAGCCAACCCTGCAGCGCGCACCAATTTGTTCAGAGAATGATCAAGCATCCACGATCGAAGCTCCTGGCGTTTTCTGCACCAAGCAGTTTTGCTCATGCTTGCACATGCGATCGGTCACAGCACTTGTGTCCTTGATCATTGGAGCAGCTTTTGCATATGTGATCTGCTGACCTGGATTGCTCTGTGGGGGGCTGGATCAGTCAGAACTGTCCACCTTTTCGATACTGAACGGTCACAAGGCTGTAGCCACTGTTGCGGGTGCTGTTCTGAAGCTGCGAAGTTGTGGGGAGCTTTTTGTTATGGTCCTGACACATCAACGGCTGCAACGCATTCAGGTATCACTTTGTCCACATGTGTCGCTCCAGGTAGTCGCACAATGTGCCATAGCTGTCCAATACCTGAATCACATGCAATCGTGTAACGTGTCCCAAGCAGACAGGCAAGCGTGCCTCACTGGCTGAAGCATCTGGCGGGTGCACTAGATGTATCCGCCCTGACCACATCGTTCGTTTGGGCATTCAGAATTCTGCCGCACCACCCCGGCCCAAGACACCTAGAGAACGTTCCTCTGCTGTTGGCAAGGCCTGCATCCAGACAAGACCCAGAAAGCGAATGTCTCGATTGTCTAAGTTCGAGTGCCGCCTCTCCGTCAGGAGGAGCTTGCCGTCTTCCTAAACATCGCTGAAAGACACGGCAAAGCCAGGGAGATGTCAACTCCAGATCCCTATTGATGTGGATACTGCATGGCGAAGGCGAAACTTCCGCAACGAAAGGCCCGGTCTCCATGAGTCGTTGTTTCGCAACAACGCCCGATCAATCTCATTTCGCCAGTGCCTGGGGATTGCAGTGTTTCCGCGGTGCGTATGGCACATGTGCTGCGGCAATCGAACCTGTAAGCTGCTTGATCTTGCGAGGTACATGTCTGTGTTTCATGGCAAAATTGCTTTAAAGGCCCGTGCGCGTCATCACATTCAAAGCCAAGCTTCACCTCAAAATGTAGCAGGACGTCGTGAGCTGAATTTGGTGGAACAGTTTCAGAAAGTGCAGAGTTCAGAGGACACAACGATGGTGTCGTTACTCGCCATCATTTGCCCCACTGCTTCCTCCGTCGGCCTGGCAGGCAGCGGCAGCGATTCAATCTGCAGAGCCGGACTAAACGCTCGAGGAATAAGACTTGTGCTGAAAGTCTTGGTGAAAGGGACTTGCCGGCAAAGGCTGGCGAGGGGGACCTAGAGTAAGACTTACTTTAGAGAACCCAACCCGCAAACAAGCATGAGCATCAGCTATCCGTGCCCCAAGCCCCAGTCACACCGAGGAAAAACAAGCGTGCCCAGCTTCAGAAAGCAAGTTCAGTCCGTGCCTTCCGAAGAACTGTCCCATCTGCTTCTGATGAGAGAAGCGCAAGCACTCGATCTTGCTGCTGAGATTGTCCTGATTACAACGCTTGCGACTTTAAGCTGAAGCCTGAAACCTCAGTCTCGCCCCGTGCATGCGCCTTGATGGCTAAAGCAAGCTCGCGGACAGCATTGGAGTCAAGCCAGTTACTCCTGGCTGACACTTGAGGCCATGTGGAACCTGTGTGGAAGCTCAGTGTAAAGCTGAGATAGCGCACTCGAGGTTCAGCGTCTTGAGCGACGAGTTGGCACGCAGAGCGTTGGCCAGCTGAACTCCGGATGCCTGCACTTCTAAAATGCAGGCATCCAAAATCAAGGCCTTCGACTCCGGACATGCTAAATATGCTAAAGCTGCTGAAGTCACCGCAAGCGGTCAATTTTGGCGGGCTCGAAGGCTCGGCGGTCGAGTTGCGTGAATCGTCTGCCTCACGCTTGGGTCGCCCCTGCGCGTATCACAAAAACAAATACCTGGGACCCATGCTTCTTCTCGTCGATTTGGACTCTTTGAGGCTAGTCATTCTCGGTCGGATGCATCAAAACTTTCTCTGCCTAAAAGGAGCGCTTTTGTCTGTCGCTATGGCAGCAGCCAGGCGTCGTTTTGACGATGTTCCCGACTTCTGTCCACATATGCTGCACAGACCACGACTGCGTTGCAAGCGACTTGCCCATGTCAACGAGCTCGCTCGCACTCGTCGGCAACTTGTCTTGCGGGGCCTAGATTTCCTTGGAAAGATGGCCTTGATAACACCACACACAGACACTGATTGACAGAAGCCACCTACAATGCTTGAAAGCAGAAGCGGCAGCATGCGGCGGAAGGCGCATCATGGAACACTTGCATGCTGAGCCTTGCCAGCGTCTTTCCGGACCGGTACGGGTCGTGGCTCGGCTATGATACGTATCGGCATCGTTGACAACTTGCCAGAGACAGCCGTTCGGATCTGGGATCTGGTACTGGACGAGAACAGGAGTTTAGGTCTCGATGCTTCCCAGGAATGATGGCGGTACCCGCCGCGGAGGCGTCTCGTAGGCTGGGCCACCGCAGGAAGGAACCGGAGCCTTAGGCCTCGTGGGGCTCTTCGTCTTCGCTTCATGCCCTGGAGGTGTTGCCGGGAGGCGTCCCGTCCAACACCATGGCCCTCAGCGCTTCATGAGTTCGAAACATTCCCTTTGAGATGGAACTGCGGCAGACAGCTCTGGAGTTTCTTGCAACCACAGATTTCATCACGCTGCACGCCCGTGATCAAGTTCGGGTAGGGCTGGTTCTTGCTCATGAAATCTCATGAAGCTGCAAGCAGTCCTTGAGCAAGTTGGAGTTGGAAAGCGTCAGCTTCTCCAGGTGAGTGTTCCTGTGTCGCGAAGACTACCTATGTAACTATAACTCTCTCAAGCTGCACGATTACTTTCTGTCGGCCCCAAACAAGGTCTGTCTTTCGCTCTTCTTCGGCTTGTTTTGCTTTGCCGTGCTTCGCTGGTGGGGCTGGGGGAATGAAGCGGAAGCAGTCCCCTAGCTCCGTGTGCACATCCAGCCATTTGTCTCAGACATGCAACAGGTACCCCTGTCCAAACCCACCAAGCACCTGTGCATAAATCATCTCATGGTCCCGCATTGCCCTTGGCCATTTCGCCCGACTGACACCGTTATCCCGTTATCTCACACAAGTCAATCTCCCATGGTCTCCCACCCTTGGCTTCCGCAAACGAAGTTGTTGAACGCACTGGGCTTCCCTCGACTGCACTGGCAAATTGCAAATGGTTGCTTCCGTGCTGGAGCATACCTTCAAGCGCAAGTCGCTGCGGTGGGTAAACCGCACCAGCCACCAGTTGTTGAAACTCCGGTGTGAGTCTTCCTGTGCAGCACAGGATTGGTCCGGTATATGTATCTCAGAGTCTGGGATTTCGGTGCCCTGTCTCTCTCTCTCTCTCTCTCTCTACCAGGTAAGAGGTGTGGGAAGGTCCCCCCCCACCCCACGCGCGAGTCCTGCGGTCCTTGGCAGGTTCGTACTCCCTGGTGGGGGGTTCGCCCCCGCAGGCTCGGCTTGACCTCTCTCTCTCAAGGGTACGTGGCAGGGATGCAGCCTCCTCCCCTGCGCTCAAAGCGCCCCCCCCCTCCCTCTCTCTCTCTTGCTTGCAAGGGGTGTAGGGCCCCGGACCCTTGGCCCGAAGGCGTACCCGGTGTACCCTTCTACAAGCAAAGTATAAGGTAAACGCAGTACACGAATTCTTGGCTGGGGGTCGTTGAAGCTTCGGGTGACTGTTCAAGAAACCAAAAGCCAAAAAAGGTTAAGTGGTGGGTGTCTCTACGCTTCGGCAACTGCAGAAGCCCTCAACGAACCGCAAAGTGACGAAAGGAGATGAAAGAATTGAATCGTCTCTAACGAAGCCCCACTGAAGGAACGAACGGAACGGAGACAAGGTGTGAGGCTGTCATTTACAGCAGCCCCGCGGTTTGAGCGAGGTTCTCTCAAAGCGAATCCCCGGAAGAAGACCTCGACAATCCCCGACTGAAGAGGACGGAGTCAAGGAACGAAGGGGTCACCAAAGGCATCCCCATAGCCTGAACTGCAAAGTTACAGAAACAGAACCTGCAAACGCTGCTGGTGTTTCTCACTCACCAAGTGTTCTTCCATGTTCTTCCGCTTGACCTTCGCGTTGTTCCAGTGTCAACCTAGCTTCGTACCCTTCTTTCTTGCCAGCTGCCTATGCTCCCGCCATTCTGCACGAAAGCCCTGTTTCTCGCGATACGCTTCGGATGTAACTAGGGGTGAAACGACGGACTGGAGGGAGCCCAGGGACCCTGGAGACGATCCACACTACAAGAAGAATTTAGGGATGCCTGATGAGAAGTGTGGCTCTGATGTTACTTCTGACAGCTTGCATGTTTGGTGCTTTCGAGTCCAGACGAGAAGGCAGAAGCCTGAGATAGCTGACCCACTTGAGCCCTAACAACTAAAGTGGGCAAAGGAAGAGGGGCTTTTCTCCACTGCGGGAAGTCCCTCTGCTTTCAAGCAGCCTGCTCGATGAGGACATGCCAGTAGCTCAAGCAGCTGGGGACGTGGGGAGAGCGACTTCTGGGCCTCCTTTAAGTATGTTTACCTTTACGATGTGCGTGTTTAGTGACCAGGTCTGGACGGGGTCTCTTTAGCGCTCTTCACTCCAACATCGGGGCACTTGAGCGCAATGGGGAGGGAAACCTCTCCCCAAGTCGAACAGAAAGAAACAGAGACAGACAGGGAGAGGAGCCTGCTTGTGCATATGCTTTCTGTCCACATTGCTCGAGTAGAGGCACCGGCTTTCTGGTGTTTCGCTGGAGCGGAAGGTCACAGTGCTGCGCCGAGATCCGGCTTTGTGTTCGGATAAAGGCAGGGAGGTCAGGCAGCGCAGCCAAGGAGGCCGAGGTCCTCTCCTGAGCCACGTGGCTCAGGCCACACTCTCACCCAGAGGGTGGCCATGCAGCACTACATAGAACCCCATCGAGGACGACTCCGAACCTGAGTTCGCCATGCGGGACATAGTCGACTTCGGGACCTCCGCACTCTGCCTACAGCTCCACCTGTGGGGACAAGTGAGGGACGCCAACCAGAGCCAAACGAGAACCCGGACACTAACGGCGATGAAACATGCCGGTGAGGAGGACTATCCTTCGGGCGCGTTCCCTGCTGGTGCCTCTACCATGCCGCCATGCCCACAAGGCTACCTGACACCCGCCACCGGGGCGCAGTTGCACGAAGGCTCTGGCTCCGTAGCGCCCGTCGAAGGGTGAAAAGCTATGGATTACGGTGTAGTGCGGACGCCAAGTCAAGGCAGGAAATGATAAAAGAAATGGGGCTCCCCCTCGCCTTCAGTCAAACAGCGGTCGAACTCTTATCTGAGTGAGGTCTCAGCCTGTCTCGGCGTCGAGCCGGAATGTGTGGCTGCAGCCCCCTGCCATTGTGCCAAAATGGCTACCTTGCTCCCTCGGTCTTCTTCAGCACAGACAAGGAACCGTTCGATCAAACGAGCGGCCCCCGCGCGATATCGCGAACCGGAAAGATTGACGTTCGGCGAGGTCTCTCACCCAGTTCTCTCTCGGACACAGGAGGCTGTCAGGCCACCGCGGCTCGTAGGAGCGTGGCGAACGTAGGACTGCAATGAGGCGGAGCTCATGAGCTATGTGGTGACCAGCAGCATGTCCACTACAGTACAGCATGCTTTTGGCAGCAAACTTGGGCGAGCTTCAATTTACAGTATTTGGAAAGGAGTACAGCACAACTAGCCCACCAATAAGAGAAATAAGAGAACTGCATTTCCTGCTCCTCTGGCACAACACTCGACTCAGAACCGCCTCTGCAACTCTCTGTAGAGCCCTGTCTGTTCAAGCTGCATTAGACAATGCATGAGACTAGTAGGCATGCGACCTGGGACAGCGGAACTACTCCAACATGTCTCTCTCTTTCTTTCTCTCGCATGTGGCCTTGCCATAGCTTCCATCAGCTTGGGAGCAATGCGTCTCTCGATGTGAGGCGGCGGCATGTGCCTCCAAGCGAGTCCATGCTTTACGAGGTCTGGCTCCGAAGCTTTATTCAACTTTGATGAGCTGCATGTTGCCAAAGTTGAGGTCCGTCAACGAGGGATCATCCAACCAGGCACGATGGACCTTTGCGAAGAGAGCATCGCTCATGTTTTACAGACCGTCGAGGCCCCGAGGTCTATTGGGCAAGCACCATCCAGATCATCCAGTCACCGTAGGCCCTGTGCAAAAAGAGGGGTTGCAGCACCGCCTCCATCTGAAAGCTTGCTAGCTACTACCTGTCACCAGCTGGTGTCGCCTTGTTTTGCACGGCTCGGGTAGCATGTCCTCAATCTCACGCACCTGCACAACGTGCAGCCCAACGAATGAAATTCTCACTCACGAGGTGCAAAATTTGCACAATTCAATTGATTCAAGCTGGGGATGAAACGCAATCCACCCGCGTTGCAAAGTCCTGACATGAACGATTGCTATGCATGCTAGTGCCTTTAGTAGACCGCGAGCGCAGCCACAAGCAGCTGGGCCTCATTGATGGACATGGATACGTCCTCGCATTGACTATCCTCGTGAGCGTCCACCTGGCCGAAAGAGAAGGTATACAAAGAATATGGACTTGTGAAAAGACTTGCAGAGAGCCTTGAGAAAAACTTCTGCCACAGTGGCCTCAAATAATGTCAAGTAGTGTTGGCTCTGTCGCTATCGCAAACTGTCATGGTCCAGGTGTGCTGGACTGGAGTTCTCTGTCTCGAGTCTCGAGATTATAACAAACATTAACTAACCCCCGGTCCCGTCTCTGCTATCCACCCCATCACACTCGCTGCTATAGCCACCACTGCCTGCCACCCGTCTCACAGCTTTATCTCGTTTGGCGTTTCTCGCGATGCACTCCCAGTGAATTTGTCTGGTTGTTTGGAGAATCTTCCTTTTCTAATCCCTTGCTCGTCACGGCCTTCAGCACTGACTGTGTGAGTTACGGGCAACCTTTGGTCCTACTCTCAGTTCGTTTCTGTTGGAGTTTGCTTGCAGATTTCACAGGTTTCGGCAAGCCACACAACCGGCATTAGCAGACACTGAAGCTTGGGCAGCAATTAATCTCATGTGAGACTTCGAGTGCTGCAGCGAAGCAGCTCGATGTAGCCGGTTTCGTTGCGCAGTCTGTGCTACAGTACGATGTGAAAGAACGCAGAACGAATTGAAAAAGCAGCGCGATGCAGTGTGAGAAGCACAACCCCAGGCAGCTGTTTCAGCGGCACTTGTAGCCGGATTGCGTGCAAGATGAGGCACTTGCCGCGCAGCCGATGGACACAGACTTGTCCAGTTTGCGCAATCTATGCAGCACGTTGCAGACGGCCCGGCTTCGGCAGTTTTGTGCGAGATTCATTTAAATCAATTAATGATCTAATGTTATCCTCAGGCTGCAAGCTGCTTTGTTGTCACCGCATGTTCTGCAGCACAAGCCATTTTGGAGTCCATTTCAGTCCATTTCTGGAGGCCGATGAGGAATGCAGAATCGTTCGTTGCTTTTTCAACTCTTTGGCTGCAACACCATAAGCGCACAAACACCCCCCAGGAGGGGGGGGGCCTTCGGCCCCACAGGAGGGAGGGAGGGAGGGAGGGGAGGGAGGAGCCGAGTGATTCGGCCCTGATGGAACTTCTTCCTCAACGCACACATGCGTCACACGACAAAACGGAAGCCTATGCCTTTGGTCGATCGCAAAGTTGCAGCAGACTGAGGGATGCTCTTTGATACAATATCTTGTGTCCTCGACGGCCAGAACCTCAACAGTCCAGGGAGTTGGACAACATTTGACAAATTGCGGCATTGTTTTCGTAGGCCGAAGGGATCTGAGGATGTATCTGGAGTGCCGGTAATAACACCTGTTTCTGGATGTAGCGCGAGACCTGCTGAAACAACCCAACTGTTCAATGAACCACGCACGAAAATGGTGGCCTTGGGGAAGAGCAGGCTGCACTTCGAGCTTGCCTCAGTGAAACGGCACGAAACGGCTGGTGCTCGATGTACTTGGGCGCCGGCCTGCCGTCTGGAGGCGCGGTCTGAAGTGGGCCTGTGGCACACGAAGCTCTCTTCACAGCCCACAGTTGACACACATGCTGCATCATCACGCTGGGCCTGATTGCCAACCTGCAGAGCCAGAACGTCCCTGCAGCAGAACCGTCTGTCAGGTCGGTGTGCAAGCAGCGACAGTTCGTAGCTAAGCGGAAGACGCTGCAGGGGCAGAGTCGACCGGCCGAGATGATTCTTTAGGATCCGTAAGCCGCTTAGTGTCAGCAGGTTGGACCTGGCGGCGAGTCATCAAAACGCCACTGAGTGAAAGGTGTGCCAGCCTTGTTGGGGGCTTTCTGCTGGAGGTCATAGAACATAGAGAAGGCGTCCACAAGTCCAAGTTCTGGATGTTGGAAAGCCCTGTCAAAGATCTACAACTGCTCAGCAAGCCATCTGTCCCTCGTACCAGAGAACAGTCCCTGGAGCCTCGGGATGCTGCAAAGCGTTTGAAATCCACAAGCAGCACACATGCCACGTGCTGAGCTGTTTGTTGACACCACCTCGCAATGTCTGGACCATTGGAGATATCGTGGGACGGAAAGAGCATGCCATGACAAGTTACAGCTGAACACTGACTGCCAAGGATACGGCCATATTGATGAGTATGCCCGTGTATCCTGCCACAGATACGACGCCACCCACACAATTCTGCATGTTCATTCACTTGTTCAATATTTGCGTTCCCCTACTTTGCAGGTACGCAAGTGGGACAAAAAAGCTGTGAACTGAAAAATCAAAATCAGTGAACCAAAGACCCATGTCCACAGTTCACCGCCGGTCCTAACCCAATCTGTCTTCATCCAACCTGCCCTTGGCCGAACCTAATGGAACCCACCCTAGACCCTAGCCTACTGCCCCCAGCCTGACCTAACCTTGCACGGCCTGATCTCGACGCCAAACCCCACATGTGAACCTTCCCAAAAGGACCGGCTTCCGGAAAAGAATAACTGTCAGGCACCGCCCAATCCCCTATGCCTGGCGAGTTCACTGAAAGGACGTCTGGGTCCATTGAAAGAGCGGTTTGTTCCACTGAAAGACCATGGTTGTACGTCAATGTGCGCAGAGGTACAAGAACATACAAGAACGCACGTGCGTACGCCGAAAACGGTACGTACATACATACATACATACATACATACCATTGTTGGGACATGCAAGGTTGCGAATGTGGTGCATATCAGTTGTATAGAAAAGACCACACCCCGCACCATCCAATGCACGGCAGAACTGGAGTAGAGCTGTGCTGGTGACTACTGCCGCCTCCCACTTCAAGCCAGACAGACACACGAGGCTTTTTCCGAAACGCTGAGAAGAAACAGGACCTGACACCAATCAACGTTGACGTTGGTAGCATCTCTGTGTTCTTCTGAATGCCCCAAGCACAGCAATCATGTTGTACATCGTTGAGATGGAATGCGATCGCAACAGGGCCGTTGAGATGTTACAGGCGCTCAGGGACTGAGATGTTTGGCTTGCACGGGTGCGAATTTGTTTAATATGACTTGGCTATGCGTGGCTGCAAGCTTTTGCAAGGCTTTGCTCACGGGTTATCAGAATGCATACGCTTTTCTCTGCGGCCGAACGCGCACATGTCTGCAACTGTCTGCAACAGAGGGAAACTCACGGGTGTATGTCCGTACGTTAGTACGGCAAATAGATTCAGGTTTGGCACAGGAAATACCTCAATTCCGCCAACTGCCCTGGGGGAGGGTGGTGGGTTCCTTTTTCATAAACTGGTTAACCTTCCAGAGAGCTAAGAAACAAGAATCTCAGAAGTGTGGTGTATCGCGCGCACGTACGTACGAACCTAAGTAGGCAGGCGTACGTCCCGCCCCCAACCTTCCAAGAGTTCACCCCCTTCCTGTGGCTATGGAGGCACCACTTCCCACCTTTTCACCGTTTGGGTGGGAACATATGCATGTCCGTACGCACCGAAGGGGCTAACGTACGTACGTATGTATGAGGTTGGATTCAAGGGGAATATATACCCATACGTCAACATTGTTGGTTACCTTCCAAAGAGTGGCATGTCTGTATATGTCGTGCTCACGTACGTACTTATGTACATGCGCAGGCTCGCCTCCCCCATGCTTTCCCGCTCCGCAAAAGTTAAAAGAACACAGGAAGAAAAGCCTAAGTACCTACGTACATGCCGGGCTGCCGGGGAAGGGGGGGTTCGGGGACTTCCTTATGTATGTTCCTGAGTGGGGGGGACAGTATCCTACCGGTGCTTATCTCAATGTGTGCGTGTATGTCTGTATATGTATGTATGTATGTATGTATGTATGGCCATGGAAGCTTGTTGTGGCTCTGCACACTGGGGGATGGACGTGGGGCACCGGTGATTGTGCGCTCGCGGAGGACAGGAATCATGGTTCGGGCATGGATACTCTGGTGACCCTAGTGGTAGTTCGGCATCTCTTTGGGGGATGGGTCATGGGCGAGCGCCGGCGATTTACCTAGAGCGCCATGTGGCCATGTACACTAGCCTGCCTCGGGCACCACCATCACGCTGTAAAGCGTGGTGTGGCATAGTTCAAGGCATAACCCGGCTCAGTAGTGCACAAACGGGTATGTAGGTATTTATGTATACATGATATCTGTATGTATGTGTGCATGTACGAGGTACGTACGTACGAACCTTTTTGTGAGGCGGGCAGCAGTTCCGGGCTATTCAATTCAAAACAGCCCTTCGCAGTGTGAGTTCGTGATGTACTTCCAAGCCAAGGGGGACCGGGCCCATCACCCCCTCTTTGATATTCACCCGCCTCTGCGCATCCAGTATCGATTCCTTTACCCTCACTTACCATACCTTCAGGCGCATGCACCTGAAACCTCAACATTTTATCCCATCTTACAGCCATGCACCGATGCATCTGTGAAGTTGTCACCGTCCTTACAAGGGTATTACAAGGGAGTTGGGAAATCGAGGGCTTGCGTTTAGTGCAGACGTAGATGTAAGCAGCTCTGCCTTGCTGCCTTGCCACTGCCACTGAATGAAGGCCTGAAGCTGTGACTCATTGCCGTCGCGGCCGTGCCAATTTGCATGCTGAAAGCATCTGTGTCTCCTCGATTCAATATCCCTTGCATCTTTTTCGGCTGGAAAGTCGCCTGTCTCTCTGTACTCCAGGCAGTGTCCTACTTCAAAGGAAAGCAAGAGGTCGCAGCGTTAAATTACCAAATTCATACCACTCATTCCAAGGCCACTGGATGCTGCGGCCTTTGCGATGCGACTTCACAAAGTGATGTCATGCTACTAACTGACAGATGTTTGTGGCATTTGGTATTGCGACGGATGCTTAGGGCTGGCACCGGTGGCAAACGAGCAGCCACACATTTCATCGCAACCAGACAGTCGTCACACTCCTCGGCGCACAGTCGCATGCAATGTAAAACGAGACTCCAAACTGCTAAGATCTGACAAGATTTTCGTGACAGGCATCGGTGTCGGCTTGATATTCGCCACGTGTCGGAGGAGGTGGATTCTCCTGGTGACAGCACGTCTGAAGATGAGATCCCTTTCAGTCTGGCAGGTCCTTGTTGAAGGCCTCGTAGAAGCCTGCAAAGAGATCGAACATGTGTGCCTGATCCTTGACATAGAAGGAGCAAGTGACAACTTCCTGGCAGCATCAGAGGTCAGTGTGAAGCTGTTACATCGTCAGCCAACAGAGCTCCTTGAGACTGACGTCTGCAGTCTTGAGCACGCGCTGCAACCCATCAAAGGCATCCGAGCCTGCGGTCCACAAATCGACTCGGCATGCCTTTCATTGCCCTCTGGAGCCCCCGACCTGATGAATTGCGCCCAAGCAAGGCCGACGTAAAAACAAATCCTCAGAAAGACAAGGCCATCTCAGGAAGACTCCGATGACACCTGTCTTCATGCACGCACGCCGTTGAAGCATGTAATGCAGAAGCGGTCACGAACTGCTGGCGTGCAAAATCCCGCCGCATACTGTTGGGTAGCAGCAGCTGCGCACTACACAGCATGGCTTCGAGCCTGCAAGGCGGAAACGACCTTGTGTGAGACAAGACACTGTCGGTGATGGTGGCGCCGTCGATAGACACTGGCGGCATCCTGACCAATCGACAGTCTTTTCAAAGTCAGGATGATGGCTTGTCTATATGTTTGTACTTTGTGAACATGACAACATGCAACCGAAATCCTCGCGAATGCCGGGTCTGACATCGTCCCGGTGCAGCGGAGGAGTACGGATTTACCGTCGGGCAGCCCGCCAGCCTGCATGGCCCAAATGCGTGAAGTGGACTCATGAGTGCCATGAAGTCCCGCGTACCAACACATGCTACTAGTATGGCCTGCACCAATGTAGTGGCCGGTCGGATTGCGGCGGCTGCGTAGAAATCCGTGATGGCCTCAAAGCTAGCCGCTGAAAACTGAGGCAAGAAGCATCGTATTTAGCTTGGCCAACGCATCCGGAAAGCTCGTCGAACTGCGGCTGCATCCTTGATATCGGCCAAGTACGCGGTGCAGTCAACCAGGTCAATTGCGTCGCTCGCCATGTGGCCAAGCTGATGGATGCGTGTCAACACATCTTTCCTGGCAACTGCTACTCACGACCTTGCCGTGTGTCTTGAAGGTGCGCATCAGGCCATACAAGCCAAGCATCGTTTCAAGGAAAGGATCCCTGGGACACTTCTGTGAGGCAGATGCACCCTCCAGGAAAAGCATTCCTGCCCAATGTCAAAGCACCACACATGCTAAAGTGTCCAAGTCGCGACACCACCACGTGCCTTCTGCAGATACTCCGTAAAGCCCATCATGCCTGGCTCACAGCCAATGACATCTGCTCCGAAGGTGGTGGAAAACAGTTGCAGCATGCAATCCCGAACTCCCCTGCGCTCGTTTGCTTTCTCCAGCCCCCTTTCCCTGAACTTCAGGGGCACGGACCACGAAAGCTCAGCGAGCTTAATGTCCGCAGGAGGGCAGAAGGAGTAGCAGTAGCAGTAGCAGTAGCCGTAGTAGTGGTGGTAGTAGTAGTAGTAGTAGTAGGTAGTAGTAGGTAGTAGTAGGTAGTAGTAGGTAGTAGTAGGTAGTAGTAGGTAGTAGTAGGTAGTAGTAAGTAGGTAGTGGTAGGTAGTGGTAGGTAGTGGTAGGTAGTGGTAGGTAGTAGTAGGTAGTAGTAGGTAGTAGTAGCAGTAGGTAGTAGTAGTAGGAGGTAGTAGTAGTTATAGTAGTAGTAGTAGTAGTAGTAGTAGGCGCCCCCCCCGCCTACCAACCACCTCTGCTGCCAACCCTCTTAAGATCACGTTCGTTTTACTCGGTATTTACGGTACGTTCGTCCTC